GGCGGCGGCGGCGGCGGCGGCAGCTGCGGATGCAGATGCGGATGCGGAGACCAGCCGGGGCTCCGAGGGGAACCCAGACTTTCCTATGGCCTCGCTGTACGTGGGCGACCTGCACCCTGAAGTGACAGAGGCGATGCTGTACGAGAAGTTCAGCCCGGCCGGGCCCATCCTCTCCATCCGCATTTGCAGGGACAAGATCACCCGCCGCTCGTTGGGCTACGCGTACGTCAACTACCAGCAACCGGTGGACGCCAAGCGGGCCCTGGAAACCCTGAACTTTGATGTCATCAAGGGCAGGCCCGTGCGCATCATGTGGTCCCAGCGGGACCCCTCGCTCCGCAAGAGTGGGGTGGGCAACGTCTTCATCAAGAACCTGGGCAAGACCATCGACAACAAGGCGCTGTACAACATCTTCTCGGCGTTTGGCAACATCCTGTCCTGCAAAGTGGCCTGCGACGAAAAGGGGCCCAAGGGCTACGGGTTTGTGCACTTCCAGAAGCAGGAGTCCGCAGAGCGGGCCATTGATGCGATGAATGGCATGTTCCTGAACTACCGCAAAATTTTCGTTGGGAGATTCAAGTCGCATAAAGAACGAGAGGCCGAAAGGGGAGCCTGGGCCAGGCAATCCACCAGTGCTGACGTCAAGGATTTCGAGGAAGACACCGATGAGGAGGCCACCTTGCGATGAAGACATGCCAGGAACGAGCCAGCCAGCAGAGCCAAACCTTGGCTCCCACCCGGTTTACAACCCCCCTCTTTGCCCCCCTAACCCACCAGCAGTGTATTGTATTGTACTGGGAGTGCAGGTCTCTCTCTCTCTCTCTCTCTGTCTGTCTCTGTCTCTCTGTCTCTCGCCTTCCCTCTCCCCTCCTTCCCTCTCCCCCTCCTTCCCCCTCTCTCTCCTTCTCCCTTTCTTCTTCCCTCCTTTCCTACCCTCCTCCCCCCCTCCCTCCCTTCTGCTCTCCCCACCTCTCTCCTCCCCCCACACCCACCAAGGGCCTGCGAATAATCTTGCTAATCTGTGCCACTTGATAGATTACAGGCTGCCTCTTCTCCTTGTGGTTTGGTTTAAAAAACACTTTCATTCTCTCTTCGTTGGCTACACAGGTGATACAGTTTCATGGTAGAAACATCAGAAAGGAGAAGGAAATCAGATGAGGGAAAACCAAGAGAGTACTTGTTCCCCATGATCCTACTACCCAGAGACAACCACTTTTTGGTGTGCTGTTTTTCCAGGCTCTCTTCTCTCCCTCTGTCTCCCTCCCTTCCTCACTCCCACCCCACCTTCCCTTTTAACTCACTGTTATAGAATGGTTCATGTGTGTGGTGTTTCTTAACCTGCTTCTTCAGAAACTAAAACCAAACAAAAATCAACCCATTGAACTTCTTCCCATGCTATTCAACAGGCTTCCGAAATGTCATCTTCAATGCCTGCAGAGTGTGTGGATGGATCTTTAACATTTCTGAATCAATCCCGCATTGTTGGACATTCAGGTGGTGCCTAGTTCTTTTCTTGTGTTTAAACCCAACACTGCATACTCTGATGAATGAATCCTTCCTTGTCAAGCCAAATCTTCGCTAGCCTACCGGATGGTCTTCTTAATTGTGGACTTGCAGGATCCACAATAAAATATCCTTGCAGGATATTTTAAAGACTTTTCCTGTGTGTTGCCAAATGGGCCCTTCATAAGCATTGTACTGATTTGCATTCATGCCAGCCAGCACAGCCAGTAAAAAGAGTATGTCCGTTTCCCCTGCCTAGTCTCCTGGTCACTGTAATTGATGTGTGTGTGTGTGTGTGTGTGTGTGTTTGTGTCTGTGTGTGTGTCTGTGTGCGCGTGCGTGCATGTGCGTGTCTTGACCAGCTTGATGGGCTGCAAATGGTATTTTGCTGTTTGGGGTTGTTTTACTGGATGTAAATGCTCTTTATCACCTCTTTTCCCTGTGCCCACTTCCTGCCCTTTTTCCCCATGTCAGAAAAATCATTCAGCTTCATTGCAGGGAAAAATTAAAAAGCAGACAAGTTAACAGAAGAAATTTAATGTCCCCAGTAATCAATTCTAATCACCAGCCATGCATTCCTAAATCATTTTCATGTGCACTTGCCCAGTATTTTTCATGTGATATATATGTGAATTTTAATGTATATATTGTTTCAATATCTGCTTTTTCACATATGAATATATAATATAGATAGATATAGATGTATAGACAGATATTCTTGAACTTCCTTTCATGCCATTAAATATTCTTCTAAAATAGTTTCATGGCTCTTTAGTGTTCCAGTGGAGGGGTTTCATAGAGGAATAGATAGATACATGTATTCATCTCTATTCATATTTAGATATAGGTATGGGGCTATTTTTCACAACTTTCTCATTGTTGAACATCTGTTTTGTTTTGTTTTTCTTATCCAAACCCTAGCCGCTAATAATACATAGTGCACAAACCTTGCTTACATTCAATATTATTTTATGAACAAACATTGGTGAGAGCAAATTGTAGAATCAAAGGACATGGATGGTTTGAAATTTTTTTCTTCTTCTTTTGCGGGGAGAGGGGGTTTCCTTTTTAAATGACTATCCCAAAGGTAGTGTCAGTTTACCCTCACCAAGTACACAAATAATGTGAGAGGATGGAAACCTTGTCAGTTATCTAGACTTGCTATTGCAGTTATTTCTATAGTCTCCCAATATTTTATCAGGGGAACTGTTGCTTTTTTTTGCTTTTGTTTAGTTTAAACATTTATTTTTATACAAATAACACAGTATCATAATAGAAACTTTTAAAATTGATTATGAACAAAGTAAAAATCACTCCTAGTTGTACCCTTTGACAAAAAGAACTTTGGAACACATGAAACATGTACGTAAATAATACTTTCAAAAATGTAATATTTATTGTTTCATTATGGAATATGTCCACTATAATTGGTCTTTCATATCATCTTTCCAAATTATTAAAAATTCTCCTTTAATTTTTTTTAAAGATTTTATTTATTTATTTGACAGAGAGAGACACAGCGAGAGAGGGAACACAAGCAGGGGGAGTGGGAGAGGGAGAAACAGGC